CGTTACACTGATGAGTTTCTCGAATTATCGAGGAAGTCCGAGTATGATCTAGATGCCCTCTTCGTTAGTATGTAAGCCTGGCAGAGAAAGCCAACAGGGATGTTAATGAATGATAAAGCAAACAGTAATTACGGTGAGTTTCGGGTAATTTACGATTCAGTTTCAAGCTAGTGTGTGTTTTGTACTCGTAGAGAGCGAAGTTATCGAGGTTGTGAATCGCTGTGATTTGTAGCGTGTATTATAAAAGTCGTTAAGTTGAAAGTGACGAGAAACGTACTGACTGTCGAATTACTGTGTACTAAAAGTTTTTATCGAGAAAGAATAAACTGGTTTAATCAAGAAAGGACTTGTATTGCTGAAGTTCCTCGGAAAGAATTTCTACCGGAAATTAACAAACAAGCAGATACATGACAATATGGTATATAGTAACTTTTCAGGCATGTTCGTTGACTGTTAAGATACCAATGTTTGGGAAGATAGCAAAATAGAATAACAGTGTTAGGCCAGATTACATAACTCATCTCTTAGAAAAAGTTTGTTAAGTTAAATTATATTAAAATGATATAAGCATCTGGCTTTCTTAGATAAGCCTTTATCATTTTTGTTCTCAGTGACTGTAATTAGAAATACTCCCCCTACTGGTTCAGCGGTAAGTCTAAATACTTATAACCCTAAAAAACTAGTTTTCTGTATCCATTGTGGGCACACCACAGATAGCCCGTTGTGTTGCTTTGCACTTAACAACAAACAAACAAAGTTAGAAATATTAATATTCTTCTTAATTTCTTATTAAAAATATAATTCATTTTGATTTATTTTAATAGTATTGGATTAATGTTCTTAATTTTTACAGTTATAAACCATGTTACAGTATGACTATGTTTAGGCCGAATCTTTCTATAGGTGGAACACACCATACAGTCTCGACACCAATGCTGAACATCTCGACTTGAATGCAGTGAATAGAACCACTATCAAACGTTAGCGAAAGTACAGTTGACCTCTTGGTGCCCTTTAGTCTATGTGTTATGCAAAATCTGGAGAATATTATTCCTCAAAGCACTGGAGACCACTATCTGTAACACAAGCTGAGAACCACAGCATGGCGGTTGGTAAAAATATTACAGTACACCTTCTCACACTCGAACTGCTCATACAAGTGCCATAGGATGTGTGTGTGTCTATGCTAAAATCCTCAATCTAAGCTGGTCAGGCTATACTACTATTCATCCAGTTATTTTAGTAGATATGTGGAGATTTCATCTCTACCCACAATATTACCAAGAAATTCCACTTCTGTGCACATTTTACTGGTTTTAAGTATCCCATTTATATTCACTGGAACACCATTTTCAGGTTCTAATTTGTAGAGAATACTGGATCAAGCACCAAGACATTTGTAACATAGATCAGACAATTCTTTCATTGCAACTCCTCCATGTAAGCCGCATTGGTCTCTCGAAAGTGATGTGCTGTTACACAGGCTGAATAGCGTGACACGAAATTCATACAAGCCATCTCTCATGATGGAAATAGCTTTAGGCCTGCTCTAGTCATCCATCTCAATTTGCCAGTATCCAGATGCAAAATCTAATGTATTGAACATCTGGCCCACTTTAAAAATGCCCAGACCTTCATTTGTTCGTGGTAGTGGAAAGGCATCAACATGAGTTACCACATTCACCCATCTAAGATCAATGAAAATCCTGGGCATACCTTCCCTTTTCCTGACAATCACCAGTGGAGATGTACAAGCATTTTTTGAAGGATGTTTGATCCCGTCCTTTGACATATACTTTACCTCAGCATTGGCTACATCCCTAATGCTCCAGAGAAGCCTATGTTGCGAGTGTTTAATCAGAGTGCAACACCTGTATCTATGTGATGATGATGTGTGACTATCGTTTGACCTAATTGACCATCTAGTCTCACAAATACATCATCATATTCAGCTAGTAAGTGATTGAGTTGCTGCTTCTACATGGAGTCTAAACTGTTTGAACAATCCTTAACTAGTGCTCAGATATGTGGGTTACTGTGTGCTCACTTTCAGATGTGACACAGTGGATGCAACCCTAGTATTACTGCTAGCATTGGTTATATCCACTTACTCACAATACTCTTGTCCATTCCAGTATAAAGTTGGATAACAGATTATCCATAATTGCACAACAATACCAAGACTTCATCCTCCTTCAGACAGGTAACTGCTCGAGCTAATACTGCTTGCTTTATGGACAGGAAATAGTTTATTGCCATTAAATGGTACCAACTCACTAGACTCTATCCATAGTAAACCATGGAACATCACTTGTTTATATGGGAGTACTGTGACTACCTCTCCCACATACACTTGTGCATTTCATTGTCCCATGGTCCAATCCAGCTGGCATTGGATAACTCTCTCATGGAACATTACTTCACCAGTTACATAGCCAAAATTGACTGATAAACTCCACAATATATCGAGCAGCTCAAGGACGACGATGCAGAACCGAGTTCAGTAACTTCCCTCATTCTGTGAGCAATGCCTCCTAGATATAGCTGGGGAGTTATCTGTCAATTCACATCTAGCTTATTTTCATTTACCAGAATGAAATTAGAGTTGATTGGTCCGAGTGGTGGTTTCACATGAAGTACCTAATATACCACAAGATCTGCCAGTGTTCTGTTTACTCCTGTATCAACCAAGAATCTATCTCTCACCCTTGTACTATAACAAGCAAATACCAATATTCAATCAGATCTGCAACCTTCGGGAGCAACCTCTCCATTTCACTCTTCCAAATTGGTGGCCAGATCTGACTTGGGCTCTGTTAAATTCCCAGAGTTGTAGTGTTAGTGTTCGCTGTTTGTTGTTTGCTGTCCTGAACGTGTTTAGCTGTGGGTTGAAACCCATAGCCTTGAGTATATTGCTGCCTAGCAAGGTATAAGCATTTTACTCAAAAGTCACCCAATGAACCACAGGTAAAGCAAATGCTTTGCTTCTCACTTCCAATATGACACCTCTATGGAAGAATCATTGGCTTAAGCTGCCCATTCGCTGGGTCCCATTGTGGTTGCATTTCAGCACTTAGCATGATGTTGGTGCCTTGGTAGGACAGTCTGTCTGAGGTACAGCCAGTGCAGCTTCTAGTGCAGGCTTCTTTCTCTTGTGGTTGATTTGAAGTTACCATACTGCTACAGAAACTGATTTAGTAAAGATGAAAAAAAATTGTCACACCCAGGTGGTACCTCATCGTGTTCGTGTTACTGGGTAGTTCTTCCACAAACTTGTCAATGAGAATATCCTCATAATATATTGAAGCCTTACTATGCAAATGTCACAGATCATCCACGTAGGTGGCCAAGCTCCCTGTAGTATTCCTCTTCTGAGTATTAAACTCACCTGATGTACTGCTCAGTTTTCCAGTGGATTGAGCCATCAGTGCGACTCGTAATGTCTTGCAGTCTCGATGTTGCACCTCACCCAAATGGCCAATGGTGTCTAGAATCAGACCATCTAGACTTAAAATCAGGTGTTGTGTAGCTTGTTCTGTAGACAAGTCATTTCAAATAGTTACATGCCAGAAATGTTTCAAATCTTCCTTTGCTTCACCCTTGAATATTGGAGTATGATCTATGTTTCTTTGACGTTATAGGTACAGCATTGTAAATTCACAGTCCAGGGCAGCAAAGCAATGAACTGCGTTTAGTAGCTCCTCTATTTGCTCTTCACAACCTCATGCCTCTCTCTAATTCACTGTTGCCATGACAGTATTTATCCTGGCTCGGAGAAGCTCACCACTTCCCCATGTTTTACTGTCTTCACCATTCGATACCCACCATCTCACCTGCTGGTGGAATGGCTTGCTGATGATGTTAATCCACCAATGGCACCCCCACCCCCATTTATTTTAAACCGTTCTGGAAAACTTACACCAGATTCTGGCTGGTGAAGATCTTAAAGTCCTACATAGACTGCCTCATTTGGTTTCTGACCATGCGTTACGTGAAAACTGCACATATCAGAATGTTTTATTAAAATAAAAAGGTAAAAAAAGCATGGTATGTATATACCACACCCTCGAGCAGGATTTGAAACCTGAATATCTCACACGAATGCTCTACCATTTGAACTGAATCGTTAATCCTCAGCTATTGTTTGTAAAGCGCTTTTTAAAACAACTCAAATAAGAATCTTCTTCGCCCCTCACAAAAACAAGGCCTTACTCATCAGACACAGTGAAATCGCTGGAAATATCAAATATCAAATTTTGAATTATGCATAATTTACAACTTTAGTTAGTATGCATTGTCTGTTGAACAACCTTGAAAGGACCAAAAAGTATTTTGTTATTCATATTTTATGTTTGATATGTAAACTTGTTTCGAAATATTTAGAATATTTTAAAGGTTGCAAAATTCATATTTATGTTGTTTAAATTCCCCGTGAGAGACTTTTAACGTAAAATATGATAAATACTAGACTTTATTCTACACACACTTTGAGCAAAATTTGTCACAAATGACATTATAATTTACTTTATCATTATTGTCGCAGAGGCTTTGTGGTAAGTCTGAAGGTTTATATTACTAAAAGCCGCGTTTCGATATCTGTGGTGGACATAGCACACATACTTCGTTGTGGAGCTTTGTGCCTAATACCAAACAAAAACAAAAACTAAACTATATTTACAAATGAAAACTTATTTTTGTAAGTAATAATTCTTAACACTTGTATAAACAGTATTATTACATGACCCCCTTGCTCACCGGACAGTCTAAGGACTGTTAACGCTAAAAAAATTTTGTTTCGATCCCCATAGAACACTGATAGCCTATTGTGGCTTTGTTCTTGACACCAACATATAAACAAAATATATTATTTACCAAGTAGTATTCGGTAGTTATAACAACACATATGTATATAAAACTATATTTTTATAATATTTAGTTGTATTATACATAAACAGATGGGGCTGATGTCTAAGTTTCTATTGATTCAAAAATGGCAGCATAGTGTTACAGCTAGATTAGTTTGAGATGCAAAATTATACCCAGTATGTAAGATTGTGTCAGGTTTTACGGCTCCTGAATCAGGAGACGACGCAATGACATCGGAGAGGTAAGGAACTTTTGAGGTAATTTGCTCTCCCTAGTGTCAAACTAGAAGAAGAAGAACTAATTATTTCAGGAAATGTTTTTCGTAGGATAACTTCTTAGTTCTATTTATAGTATACTATAGTATTTGTAACCATTTTTGTAACTGTTAAAACATGGACAAGTATGAAGTAATCAAATTCAAATCAACTTATAATTTTCCAGGATTGCAGTTTGAATTTTTTAGTTTTAAAAATAATACCGAAAAATCAATATGCGTGTATTAATAAAGTGTACAACAAAAATTCATAATTCAGATTAATTTGGAAACAAGTATTGCACAGCTTGAACTTAAGTAGACTATTATCTGTACTAACTTATTGCATTACGTTAAATTAAGTATTCGGTTAGTGCACTCTGTAGTGTAGGAAAGCACCAATTCGTGTAATTCGTTTCACTAATGCACCACAGTTGGTAAAAGAAACCACAGCTATATCACGTTACACAGAGGGACTTTCCAGATGTAAGGGAAGAGACTCTTCTTATTACAAATTTGAAGAGAAGATATTTCTGTCCTGGAGCAATTAGCACTCATTAATTTTACTACATGTACGTTTAAAATATATCAACAACATTACATATTTTTTTAAATTCCTGTCATAAGGTTATGGAATTGAAATCTGAAAAGTCTCAAGAAATTGAAGGAATAGGCATAAATGAAAGAATTTTCTTACTGTTGCTATGTTTCATTGTAGTAACTTGGATCTGTGAATCTCCAAGAAGGGATGTTCATAGTAAGTAAAACCTTTGATATATATATTTTACATTTGCAATGAAAAAGAATTTCTACTTTATATATGTACAGCATTTTACCATTAAACTTATTCTATGAATGCTTTGCTTAATTTTCTAAAGAAGATTTTTAAATTTCAACAAACCTTAAAATAATTTCATCTTCCAATAGTTCACATGCAAAAAATACCATTGAAATGATTTTTGGAATATTGAGAGACCTTTGACAGACTTGAAGCTTTCTTCAGGGAAAGTAAGTTAAATAAAATATTTTGAATTTTATTTTTATTTTTTTACCTAGTACATAAAGTTAGCAGTCAAACAATGAGATTTGCACAGCTGCCCCTGTACTGAAGTCATTGAAGTAAATTATTCTTAAGAAGAAAATATTTATTTTTCATGTTTATATTATATATATATCTACATTACTTTGTTCGTACTTTTTAGCCGCTGTTGTTTATTATGATTTTTTAATTTTTTGTCAAAGGCTATTTAGTGAAGCAGAAACATACACTTATATATTTCTACTTTACAAATAGTTTACCCAGGAAAATTAAGTTTTATATATTGTTGCTCATTCACCTTTTACGGATTAGCTAATTCCCCTTTGAGAATCTTGAGAAAACACATTATTTAGATAATATACTTAAGAATTGTGTATACACTTATCTAAAATAGTAAATTAAAAACATAAATTCTAAATTAAGATCCAAAAGTTTTAGTGGAGAATGTAACCTTCGATGATACATATGTTAAACATAATCTAAAACCATTACATTCTTTAAACCTAGGTATCAAAACACATGAAACCAGAACTGTCATCAGTCACAACTAAAAAACTGAGTTTTAGTTTTGAGAAAACAGAAGACAGAACACAAGGTTCAAGGAAAATGTACAAAAATGAAAATATTAAATTGTCATGGTATTCATCACTTTTTTGTTTATATTTGTCTGTCTCAGAATTGGTTTACATAATATGGTCAGTTATTGAATTTAATTTGCTTAATGTGAATGTGAATGATCAATTGAAACATGTTTTGTATGGCATGTAGTCACAGTTGTAGGTCAAGTTGTAACATTTGATTATTCCACACTAAAATATTATTCATTTTGAAATTACTTCTTGGATATTGATTGCCTTGGATGTATATTTAGTATTGAAAAATTTGCAATATGTTTTGTTTACAATGTAGCTAAAATAGTTTTATTGAGGTTGTTGCTCACATTTCTACCAACTTTGTTTTATGCAGTGTTTATATGTTGTAAGCAAGTATATTATTTCATGATCAATGCTAAGTTATTTTTACTCTTGTCAAAACTATTTCACATTTAAATTTTGCTCTTAAAATTTTGGTCAAAAATTTACTTCATATTTGTTTGCATTATGCTTTACTGCTATGCTCCTTATGAATGAATTGGGAACTATTACACATTCCATAACGATCAATGGATTTGATATAGGGTGAGTGGCCTAATATATTACAGCTTCAAATGTATTTTTAATACACTTTAATATATCGAAGTTTAAGAACTGAAAAAGTGGCAACATGAAACAATTTACTACAAGTTCCAGACTTTTCATTATCAAAAGACAGTTTTCTAGGAAGAAGCAAACCCTTCAGTGGACTAACTAGCACTTTTTATGGAGTCAGTTTCTTCAGTTTGTTTCAGAAACTAAGGTAAAATGAAGAAAGAGGCTGTTGGCAATATAATTTCATGAATGTAAAGTAACAGAATCTGATTGAATTTTTTTGTGGGAACTTGCATTAACAGAGATCTGCTAAGAACAAGAGAAACACTGTAGTCATCGATAAATGTTCACCACAGTTGCTCTAGATGAAAGTGGTCTTCAACTTTGAATTTATGACCAGAATAAATTGGCTCACTCATGCAAAATGTTTTGTCCTTCAAGCTTTTGAATCCAATTTCATTTTGAATTAACTTCAACAAATCACTCACAGAAAATATTATTTGTCCATCCTATTCTTTACAGTTAATTATGTATTGTTCTTTACTACCAGTTAGTTCCAAATGTTTCATCAAAAGAAACTTTTAACTTCCAATCATTATAGGAATGCGAAGAATGAATGTAACAATAATAAATTTTTTGTGCATTTCCAATTACAAATGCTTCAACTGTGGCACTTGTGTAAAATATTCTTTGCCCATTTCAAAAACTTTTAAAGCATTCAATATATGTTATATCACAAAGCAAATCAAGATCACTGAAATATCATTGTTGAAGCAAATTATTAAGAAATGCTCTTTCATATTAAGGAATTTTTCTCTGGACTTTTATTTACCTAAAGGAAGAAAAAGTTAGATATGCACATGTCAGAAAATCCATGATTGCACTATGGTGTCTTGCTCTTGTCTGATCTTTGCATTTGCTTAAGCTCTAGAAAAAGGTTTACCCCACACACATCTACTTTGGGAGAGTGTATTTTTAAAAATAATAGTATTTTTGGAATCACTACTTTAATTCATATGTTGCTGTTAATAACAATCAACAAGCCATCAGGCATAGTATAAAACAATCAGGCCATCTTGATGTTGATATGGTACACGATGGTGATGTGGTTCATGCTTTTAAGCCCAAAGAAGAGATGGAGAAATGCCCAGTTTCTAATCCAATTCATCCCAAAGAGATTTATTGAGTCTATGTATAAAGAAATATTTTGAGATGTCACTTGTGTCCACTGCCAGCTTCAACTGTCAATGGGTAACCCATTTTCAGATACAGGATTGTTCAGGAATACCGTTATTTAAAATGTAGTTTGAGATCAAGTCTCCAACCCTATAAACATACTGTTTAACAAATTTTATTTTCTGAACAGGAAACAAAATTTCATCTGACTTTCATTATTCTAAACTTACTTTTAACTACAGCTTCGATAGCCAGAATACATCTTGGGACATGTTATATGGTGGACTAAGATATGTTTGCCTAGAAGGACCAGATGACCATGAGGTACTATAAAATGTATTTAATGAGCTAAGAAATGTCGTACTTACACCCAACATAGAAAGCATTTAGATAATATAGAGATGGAACTTTGGAAGGTAGTTCATTAGTGAAATATGATGAACTTGTTCATTTTTATTTTGGAACAGTATCATACAACTTAGTGCATGGACATAAAGCCATTATGAATATATTCAGTGTTTTGGGTTTAAAAGGAATTCTGTCACTTGTAGGATACAGTGATAAAAAATCCTAGCTTTATTCATAGGTCATATTTTTTCCTTGAAGAGGTATTGTATACTATTTACGTTGAATCTGTTGCATTGTGGGTAAATACCTTGGCACTTGATAAAAAAATAATAAACTGAATTCATTACTTCTAAACATTGTCAGTTTTCAAAACCAGCAAACTTTTATTTTCAAGCTTATAAAGAATGGAAAGACAACCACATTAAAGCTAAAGCTTTTGTTTGTGCAGTTGAATTTTTGTAGACACCATATTACTTTCTTGTACAAGTTGGGATACATAACATCTTGTCACTGTATTTATATTGTGTTAAATTTGGAACAGTTTTTTACCTTTTCTTCAAGTTCAGAACAGACCACATGCAGTTTATAAATTCTCTAGAGATGTATATTGTTTATCTTCATACTAACAAAAGTAAGTGGATAATACGATAGTATCTAAAAATTAATTAACACATTTAACAGCAGTATGTCACTAGTGAATTAAAGTTCAAAGGTTTGAAACTGTCAACTAAGAGACTTGACACTTAATATAAAACTTAAGAATAACAAGAGACCTGTTGGTCCATCTAAGCCATTCCATCCCATTCTCTAAAGTAAACTAAACTTAAAAAAAAAGTCAATGCCACCCAGCCCTTATTAGTTAGATATTTATTAACCCTTCCCTTAAATTTACTGTATTCACCAGATCTAAAGGCAACCCATTCCAAAGGCCAACCACCCTTTTAGGAAAATATAACTGCCTTAACTGAAGATGACTTCTACCCTAACAAAATTTATTTGTATACCCTAGACCTACCATTCTCTCCATTAAGTTTGAAAATAGATGATACACCAACATTACTAATTCTCAAAAGAATTTTAAACATTGTAATCAGATCCCCTTTAACTATTCCACTTATTTCAAGGACAAAAGAAAATTTGAATGAACAATGTGGGAATGGAGCAAGTATTCTGCATACGAAGCATGGCCCAAATAAAGGTGAAATACTCTGTAAAGAATTAGTAAAGAAAGTTAAGTGAAAACTATTCAGGATCTTTAAACACTTTTAATTGGATAAGGAAGAAACTGAAACTGAAATTTGTTCATAATTCATTTTACCAGAGTTTAAATTGATCATCTACCCAAATGTCCAGATCTATAAAATACAAAATTATTTTTAAGTTTTGTCATAAATTGAAAAACTGCATTTCACCATGAAGGAGCACAACAGCCTGATATACCTCATAAACTGACATATGCTGGTTTTGATGAGATAAAGACATCATTAAATGAAGAAGCTTCAAACTTCTATAGAATATATAATTTTCTCTTTTTTTTGTGCATGTTTTTTGTTATGAACAAAGTTTGGCATATGAAACTTAGTGTGCTTGGTGAAGATACTGAACTTTTCTTATCTTTTGACACCTGATATGTGATTACATAATTGTGAAGAAAGTACAATATGCTTAGATTACCTCAAGAAAACATTGGAAATTCTGAACTGATAAACAATATTGTATCAAACTTGGAAGAATGTAGTCAATGAGCCAACACTAATAGATCTGACTTATCCAGTTGAAACTTTGGTATTTATATTAATAGCTACTGGTGCCAATGATTACAATGGACATTTTTGACATTTTTCTGTCAAGACAGTTTGAGATTGTTTAGAACAAATATTTTAAAAAATAGGTCTACTTTCATACACTCTATTCCAGACAAAGAAATGTATCCACAGCTCATAAAAAACTGCTGTGTAATAAAGAATAAGCAAATGTTTTTGGATGTATCTTTCCCAAAGAAACTAAACCTATACGTATAGAGAAAAAGTTCAAGTCATTAATTTCTTGATCAGCTGTGATATTGCATTGGAAAAGTAAAAACCTGTAACTGCTGAGAAAGCAACACAGTTTTTTAAACAAAATAAAATGTGCTTCCTGAAATTTTAAATCTTTCTTGATGCTACCACAACTCGTCTATGGAGCATAAATCCAGTCATCTGGCCTCTTATTAAAAAATCTCACAGTGTACAGTTTCATAATATAATACATTTTAGTTGCTTAACCAGCTGGGCCCGGATCAAATTCAGCATCACATTGATCTCGGAAATGCACCATTTTACTTCATTTTGAAGCACTTTACCATGCACTACAATTTTGCTTTTTCAATAAAAGTCTCACTCAAACATACTTCTTAAAGTTGGTAGCCCTGCCTTCTGCCCCTTGTGGCAAAGATTTTTTATTGTAAATGTATTCCCAGTTAGTAATGTACATAATATTATCTGGAAAAACCTTGATGATCTTTCTAAATGAGCTGTACTGGATGAGACTTTAAAGCTGAAATTCAAGAGGAATACCTTTTACTATACAATCTGGTATGATGTATTTGTATGATTTATTTCTGAATTTGGAAATAATGGCAGTGATGCATCTCAGAAAAAAAGAAAGAAAAGAAGTTATAAACAGTCTGTAAATGTTGTTTTAGATCTTGGGATAAATGTATTATTGTATGCTTAATTTCAGAAACTTTAATATGTAATATTTCAATAAAGAAATTGATTGTATCATCTTCACAAGGTATTTTTATTAGTCACACATTATGCATTAAAAAGATACTGTATTCATTTGTTTTTGGTTTATTTTGTTACCTAAGTTATTTTAGAGATAAAAATCTCATCCTCACAGATTGTAGAAGTTCTGTGAAAACTCATTGATGTTTAAAAGAAATGAATCATATAT